TCCCTCCACACAAACATAGACACACACAGACTTTCAGTAAACATTTACTAAACAGTTTACAACATGCATCATAAACCATTTAACAGCAAGCTACTAATTTCATGCTCCTCCCTTTCTCCAGCTTATCTTCTGAAAAATACACTATGCTTTAAGTGAAGATGACATTATATTGCTTGAAGAACACACGATTTAGCTTTTTAAAGTTTTCACTTGCTTGAACTCACAAGCTTCCTGGGCAATTCAGGAAGCAAGCAAGGTAACACCACAGTTCAGCCATTCAGCAGAATACACGTTAGCCCTGGGTTAATGGAGGGGAAGATGTGACTTCATTTCAAAATGCCTTTAATATTTTCTGTAAAGTCTTTTTTTACCAGCCTTGCAATAAATACAGCAACAGAACATGATTTTAAGTGTAATTTGTGCCATAGCAGCACAAAAGGATTGTCCTAATTGGTCTCCAATTCCTGTAGCATAACACAGGTCAGTCAATGTCAGTCCCTGACAGAGGAAGCATTCCTGGACAGTTCCATCTTGGAAGTGACAAGCTGGCAGTATATAAACCACACAGTTTAAAAACTGCCTTCGCATGTCTTCAAGTTGGAAGAGAAGCCAGTTTGGATCACAGATTCAAAACTAAAGCAACCTTGGCTCACCCTTCTCTATTGTATTGGGTACTGATCAGTTCAAGTCTTTGGTTAAAAAAGCCCTAAAAGCTTCCACAACTTGGTCACAGATTTGTGGTTGTGGGGTTTTTTTGGTTTTTTTGTTGTTTTTTTTTTTTTAAAAAAAAAAAAAAGATAGGAGCCTTGATATTATTTGTAAAAGACTAACCTTTACTAAGCAACGCAATGCAAACACGCCAGCTTCTGAATAAAGCTGGACTACTTTTTTGTATTCAGCATGAACATGCACTTACTTTGAGTCCTGTTCTATTAACTACACAAACTGAGACACAAATGGACCCAAGAAACAAGCCCTAGACAACTTCATTTATTCTCACAGACAATGGTGAAGGGTCATACTATAAATCTCCCTTCAAAAAAAAAACCAATCTTGTAGGCTGACTACAATAAAAAGCTAATTTTGTAAAGTGTAATTATTGAAACATATAATTTGGAATTGGAATCCAGCCAGCATTAGCCACGCAGCTGCTGATGGGATTACTGAGGTCTTACTCGATACTGTGTGTACTTCTGGGCATGCATATAGCAAATATTTTCAACAGATCTTTGATATGCTTTTATTAAAACTAGATAGACAAAACCATTTATGGTTTTCATGGGTTTTTTCTCCTATCCCCTGGTTTGCAACATTTCTACAGCAAGCATTTTAATGTTCAAGTTCACTATAGTTTAAGATAATTTACCAGCTGGCTTTTACTGTTTTCTTCAAATAAGTCAGTCCAAAGGCTAGTTCGTATTACTGCTAGGAAATACTCAGCTATATAAATTTTTATTGCTTCTTTCACCTAACAATTTTATTCATGACTGTTTATTACACACAACTTTATTTTTGCTTAGTAGTAGCATTCTTCATAAAGCTAGATGACAAATCCCCTCCCAAGATAAATTTCTCTCTCCAAGCCAACTTTTCCACAGGACTAATCGTTCCAGTTGTCCTAAATTACGTCCTGTTCAAGTCTGCTCTAAAACATGACGGCGCTTCTAGGTGTACCTTCTACATCTAGTTAACAGGCTTCCTCTCACTATACATACATTTATACCAACTGTTACCAAGTCATACTGCAAGTTTGTTACTCAACTATTTCACAAACTTCAAAGCTTCAAACTACTTTGTATTTCAAAGGCAGAAAGCCCAGAGTTGCCTTTTAATTGGATGCCAAACATGGTTGCTAGAAACAATTTTTTTCAAGTTACAGACACACAGTAAGCTTAATCAAATATTATTAGCACACAATAAAGACAACTACATTAACTGTTAGTAACAGTTACTGCAAACAGTTTTTAACACTGCAGTGAATGGCAATCCAAAGTTGCATTTCTGTTCAAAACTTTTAAGATTTATTCTCATTTTTATGTAAAGGAGATGAAGCACCTTAATATCTTACAACAGTAGTTTGAATCACAGCATTTGGTTTGTTTGATTTTTTTTTTTTAAAAAAAGAAGAATTTCATACTTCTAAGATAATATATTTAGGCGGAAATGTCAATGCAACTTTGGTTTTCCATCTAATGAGTTACGAATCAGAATATGTCTTGCTTGTATTAGCAGCTGCCTAGACAGCATTGTGTTTTCATTTGCCATTTTAATTTAGAAATCTTTATTGGCCCTAGTTTTCTCTGAAGTGCTTTCTTTTTTTTTCCAATGAAACATTCTAAACAAATAATGCAACTCTTCAGATGTTAAAGGTAACAAAGTATTCCAGTTCAGACTTTTCAAAAACATGAGACTGAGAAATTGCTATTCATCAGACTAACAAAACAAAGTCATTTTAGTAAGATAACACAAAAATCTGTTACACCTCCAACACTTGAGTTCATACCTCAAAATGAAGATTTTTTTTTTTTTTTTTCTTTTACCACAAGCAAAAAGGCTCTGCAGAGGCTCATCTCTTGCAGTTAATGAACTCTTCCTGCTTAAGCTTACAGCAAGGTCATATTTTTTATCTGCTGATTAACACCTCACAGCAGGCCTAAACTTATCAGAAGGCATGTTTATATCAAAGACAATGTAAGGCCACTATTAGTAAGAGAATTTAAAAAAAAAATTAAAATATTTAAAAATTGCAGAAATAAAACCCTCAGAACAGAACATCAGCATAAGCATTCTGTTAAACAGCCACTTTCACAAGCAAGTCCAATATTCAAATGCTGCAAACGCATTTACACAGGACTTACACAACATAGCTTCTGCTTGCCCATTTAGAGGCCAGGACACATAGTCTGTGCTCAGTTTTCCAGAATATGAAAAGTAACAGGAGAAGCATACCTTCTCAAGAACAGAAGCTAAAGGAAAAAAATTTAAACATGCTGTAGAACTGGAATTCTTCTGCAAAGTGAAGAAAATGTAGGAAGCACTTATCTTTGCTGTAAAAAGCCAGGCTTGGACTCTCAAATGCTATTTTCTATACATTTATGCAGCATAACTCTACTCCATTTTCTGCACACAGCCTAATATATAAAAACTAAAACTTGTAAAACTTTGATTGTGCTAATATGTATAAAAACAGGATTATTTTTCATTTACGAATGTTACAATTTCACACGACTGCAGTTATCTGTACAGTTGTACACATACTACAGTTTCCTCAAAATATTTTTCCTCCATACATCTCAATCTGTCTCTTAGCAATTTCTGGAGATCAGATCAGAGGAATGTTAATTCATAAACAGATAAAGAAAGCTTGGGGGCTGATAAAAATAATGCATGTGAAAAGGGGCCTAAGTCTGATGCTCTGCAATCGGTAAGGACGAGTTTCTTTTTGTAAAACTAAAGATGCAGCTGCTAGTTAGGTAAGTCAAGCTCAAAAAAATTAGTTAGAAAAGCTTGTATCAAACCCAATGTACTCACTGGAACTGAAAGAGAGTAGGACTTGTTATAGAGCTGAAGGAGGGTCTGAGTAAACTAATTGGAGATAAAAAAAAAAATACAGAAGTTAAAAAAAATTATGCTAAAAAAGAAATCCAGCCTTTAGGAAACAAGTCTCGGGACAATGATTTCTGCATATTTCAAGTTAAGGCTCAAAAATAAAGGTTTAGACATTTCACTTTGGGTTTGTGGGTTGGCTTGGTTTTTTTTTATGGCCCTTGAAGTTCAGACAGCAAGACCTACAATGTTCTCAGCCTCTGACACCCTTTAAAAAAAGTCAGTGCTTTTTCTCCTCAATTAATCAAGCCTTACAATTAAAATAAATCCCCACTAAAAAGAAGTAGGGTCTTTTTAAGTGTAAGAGACTTCTGTAGGCAACTATAGTTTGGTATGCTTAGTAATATCTCAGCCTGAAGTGCTTCTACCAGTTGATTCCTTTATCACAGAACACATCCAGTTTTAGGTGGATTGTTGTTCTTCTCAGGAAAGGTTTGTGACCGATAGTTTCCCATAAAATAGTAAGAAATATTTTGAACAAATACGCTGTTCAAATGACTGGCAAGTCTCCGTGCAAACTGCTCACGCAAGTCACTAAACCGCTGCTGTTGCTGTTTCACTGCATGAAGCATATCGTGTCCTAAAAACAAGAAGAACCTCACAGAGTACAAAACAGATAGCCATATATTGTACATGGGAACCAAGAGGACCAGAGGTCACAACTCCCTCAGTCTACAGAAACAAAATCTGAGACTAGTTGGAAAAGCACATACAACGAAGCCACTACCACAGCAAATTTTGTATGTTAGACAGTAGCCTAACAAAAACATTACCTGGACGAAGAGCTACATTCATACACTGCAGAAGGGCATCTGCTGCATTAGTGCATGCCTCAATGCCCCGAGAAGATGTCAGATCTCCCTCCTGAAGGGCTTTTATATGACCTTTAGCCAAATCCATGTGATTCTACAAAATAACAGATAGTACTGTCCATAAG